AAAAAAAAAGAATCATTTTTTTTTCTAAAAAAGAAAAAAAAAAGAAAAAAAATTAAGATTCAAGAAATTATCATCATTTTCTCTTTTTAAAGAAAAAAAGAATCTCGATTTCATTCATTGATTCTTTTGGATTATTTTTTTTTTAATTTTAAAAAAAAAAAAAATTTGTCATCACATGATTTTTTAAAAAAAATCATCAAACTAAGATCAAGTTTTGTGTATATTGTTAAAAGAAAAATACTGTAAATTGAGGGATATATATATGCATATAGTTGGTAAAAAACCTGTGGATTAGCTGGATTAGCTGGATTAGTTGGATTTAGTTGTGACTTGTGATTGAAGTGATTGAAATGCAAATTTCTGCTTAATAAGAACCAAGTAACAATCGTATGGACTTTAAATCAACTCATCAACAAGATCAACTCCATTCATTCATTCATTCATTCATTCACTTTATTTTTTAAGATGTAATAATTTATTAAAATAGAAAGTTATATAGCAGATAAAAAAAAAAACGTAAGCGATAATCTATAAACCGATACTGGTAAAATTCTTGAGTAACTCCGAATTCAACCTATCTTTCTTTCATCGATTTTTAAGGGATTAACCGAAAAGAATGTAATTTTCTCACATGGTTAAAAAAAAAAAAAACTATTTTCCGAGAAATTTTTTTCTAAACTATAAAAAAAAAAAATTATTACCAATCAAAATAAAAATTCCTTTGTTTTTATTAAATTAAAATATTTATTTTTTTATTTATTATTTTTTTTTTTACCGTTTATCACGTTTATCAAAAAAGAATTTATTATTTGTTATTATTATGTCATTTATAATAAATGAATGGTAACATTCTTAACATGCAGGAATGCTTAAAAACTTTTTAATAGGAAAACAAAAAATAAAATTTTTTTTGTGATGATATAAACTGATACGCTGATATACATGTATATGTTATATGGAACATTGTTACATATATACATACATATTAAAAATATTTAAGTTTAATTCTCCCGCTTTAAACCAAAAATTTTCAGGGTATAGAATTTATAGATGAATTATTATAGAATTCACGAAATTCATAATAAAATTTTAAAGATAATTCATGGATTTTTTTTTTAAAATTATAGAATTTTTTTTAATCAAAAAAATGGATTATTTATTTTTTTTTTAAAGATAATTCATGGATTTTTTTTTTTAAATTATAGAATTTTTTTTTTAATTAAAAAATAATAAAATATTAAAGATAATTTATGGATTTTATAAAAAAATTTTAAAGATAATTCATGGATTTTTTTAATTATAGAATTTTTTTTTAAATCAAAAAAATAATAAAATTTTAAAGATAATTTATGAATTATAGAATCTTTTTTAATCAAAAAAAATAATAAAATTTTAAAGATTTATTATAAAATTCATAAATTCTTTTTCATTTTTATTGTGGATATGCTTTAATCAAAAAGTAATAAAATTTTAAAGAATTGTTATAGGATTTATGGATTTTTTTTTTAATAAAAAAAATAATAAATTTAAAAGAATTGTTATAGATTTTTTTTTAATCAAAAAATAATAAAATTTTAAGAATTGTTATAGATTTTTTAAAGAATTGTAGAATTTATGAATTTTTTTTAATTAAAAAAATAATAAATTTTTTAAATTTTTAAAGATTTATTAGAATTTATGAAATTTTTTTTTAATTAAAAAAATAATAAAATTTTTTAAAAAAAGCAATTATAAAAATTATTTATAATACTTAAAATTATTTTTTTATTTTTTATAATTTGCAGAATATATAGAATATTTATTAGATTAAATAAATATAAAATAAGTTTATATTTTTCATATATGCTATCTATATTACAATTTGCATATTTTTAGCAATAGCTTTGTAATTATAAATAGATGATTCAAAACCTTACTATTCTGCAATAAGAAAATAATTAGTATATAAAAATTAATAAAAATTATGTAAAATTAAAATTTATTATAAATTTAATATACTGAAATCTTAACATAATAAAATTTTGATATATTAGAATTGGATTTAAAATAGATTATTATAAATAATATATAATTTAGAATTGTAAATTATCATAAATAATATATAACTAATTTACTCTTAAATATATTAAAATTCTTAATATAACAGATTTTAATAAATTTTATTAATAAAATAGATAGTTTTATTATATATTTTATTTATTTATTTTATTTATTTACCTTATAGGAATTATCGCAGTTTTCAGAATTCTGTGTATATTGTGATGATTGAGTGATTATGATTGCAGGACAATTACAAGACGATTACAGGATAACATTGTCCAATTTTTGTCTGGTAATTGTTCTATAATCTAATAATTTTTTTATTAGATAATTTATAGGAGGTAGCACAATTTTGAAAAGTGCGATAATATTTAATTATTATGATAATTAATCTATATAATTACAAATACTAGTAATTTCTAAAATACTTCACTCAATTAGCAAATATTCCTAATAAGTTATTATATATTTTGTCCAAATTATTTGAGAATATTATAATTGTAATAATTTGAAATACTATAATTAAATTTGGGATTTTACTTATAATTATAGCAGTTTAAAATAATTTAAACAGCATATATAAAATTCTATTATATCAAATTTTATAAAAAATTTAATTTTACATTTTTTTTATAAAAATATATAATATAAAAAATTATAATTTATTTGTACAAGCTTCTTCTCTGGGTATCTACAAATGTATTTATTAAGGTTGCTTGTCAAACCTCTTCAAAATCCTACAATTAGTTTCATCAAAATTTTACTATAGATTTATTATAGTTTTGGCAGAGTTTCAGCAGTTTTGGCATTTATAATAAGTTTTGGCAGTTTCGCTTTTCTCCAAAGTTTTGCCAGTTTTTTAATATAACTTTAATATAGTTTTGGCAGAATTTCACTTTTCGGCAAAACACCATCTTGCCTAAACCCCTAGGTTTCAGCAAGCAACCTTAGTATTTATCATTATTTTCTATTAAATAGTTTGCCGCTTGAGCTCTTCTTTTTTTTTTCTATAATGATAAATAATTATAAAATTAAATAAAATTAACTAAATTCCCATTTCATATTAATAAAATGGTTTTACTATATAAATCTTAAAATAATTTTATTTTTATTATTAAAATTTTACTTTAAAAATTATAGGTATTATTACCGTATTTTATCAAAAATAAGCACCCCTCGAAAATAAGCACCTTCTCCTAATTTTCAAAATTTTTTGTGAAAAAGTTATATATATTACTAATAAAAATAGTATCAAAAATAAGCACCACCCTAAACTTTTCTCTCAAAATCCTTGCAAAAAAGGGGTGCTTATTTTCAATAAAATACGGTAATAGGATTTCAAATATCTTTTATTTATATTAATTAAAAATTACTTTATATTGTATTTTAGTAAATATTAAAATTAGCGAAATAAGAAAAATAAAATTATTATTATTGGATTTCTTTTATTAAAATGAATTCAGTGGTATAAATTTTATTAAATTTGGATTATTATTTAATTAAAAAACAGAGGTATATAATTTAAAATTGCTCTTTGTTTACCAAGAGGATGGGATGAATTTATATAATTATTAAATTATATGTTTAAATATCAAGTAATAAAGTTGATTTTTTTATTAATTTATATAATATTTAAAGGTAGAAATAATTAATATTATAATCAATTTCAATATCTATTGTAAACCTATTTAAAAATATTTATTAAAAAGTCAAAATTTTTATCTTTTAAATAAATTATAATAGAATTTATATTAAATATTATATTATAAAGTTACAAATCTCTTTTAGTAAGTTATAAATCACCTAAAGAATATACTTTCAAATTAGCTTTAAATTTATAAAAATTCACAAATTAATAATACATTATTTAAGAATATTTATACCAAAAAATTATTATGCATTATTTATTTAAATAAAAATTTTTACTAATTATAGTTTACCTCCCTATAGCGAATTTTGATATAATAAATCACGTGATGCTTAGCTAATAAAATATGTCAATTTTTCCTTACTATAATGAAGTAACTAATCAAATTCTTCAAATTCTTCGTTAACTTGCTATAATGAATTTGAGGTGCAGAACAGCTTCTTCGCTATATCAAGAATAGACTGTACTATTTTATTTTTATTTTTAGTTATAATTTAAATATATTCAAACAAATAATTTAATATTTTAATAAATAAATAAATTATAGAAAATTTCTAAGTTTACACGGGGTGTTTGTACATAGGTCATATAAATATAATTTTTAATAGACTAATTTTTTGTTTTTTAATTTGAAATTGAATACTACAGACATTATACTCATTTACTTTTTATTCTTATTATATTACAGATAAATATATGTATTTTCACCTGCTCTGCAAGTTTACTTAAGGCATTAAAGGAGGGTTTGAATGCCGTTTTTAATCTACTAATATGACCTGTGTTTAAACACCCCATATACAAATAGAAATTGCCTAAATTATATATGTTTAACTTTTTTTATTTGTATATCTGATAAAATTTATATGATAATTTATAAGAAATTATAAAATTTCATTTTTTTATTTAATTTATAGCCATGTAATAATTAATAATTTTTAGTTTAATTATATATACTGTATATTATTATATAAAATTTGAATGCATTTGCATTTTGAATGCACTTCCTTTTTTTGAAAATTTTATATAATAAAAATACTGATTATTTTATCATGCAATACTAAAGAATTTCTGATTTTTTTGAATAAACACAATTTATACCTTATACACTTATAAATAAATTTATATTATATGTATTTTTGCCTTTTTTACAATTTTACTTATTATGGTAAAAGGGGATTTAAAACTTCATTTTTGATTTATACTATGTTATCCGTCTTTAATTAATAAATAATTATAAAATAAAATTTAATAATCTGTATTTTATTATATTATTTATTAAAGTTAAATTTTACTTTTTTTAAAAATTAATAATATTAATTATTATATATTTTAAATTTTTAAAATTTTATATTATTTGAATTTTTAATTAAAATTATAATTTTTAATTTTTATTGTTATAATAATTATAAAAGTAAAATTATAATTGATATTAAATAAATTTATTGCAATAGAAAGGAGGGAAAATTACTAGAAAAATTAAAATTTATATTTATATATTAATAATACTCTAAATATTGTAATTTATTTAGAATTAATATTGATTAAAAATTTTTTTAGCAGTTTCTTTTCTTTTTATTGCAAAAAACCTATATATTTTTTAAATTTTTAAATTTTTTAAGATTTTTTTTTTTTTTTGATTGTAACACATAAAATTTTTTAAAATTAAAATTATAAATTTTTAATAAAATTAGCTATAATAATTGTTAAAACTAATTAATTTGGTAAATTTTTAATAATACTTCTAATTTTTTTTTTTAAATGCATTAAAATTACTTATCTAATATGTAGATGTAAATATTAGATAAAATACTTTTAATTTTAATTTACCAATTTTTTAAATAATTTTATATTAAAAAATATAAATTTTTTTAAAAAAAGTAATTTAAAATAAATATTATTTTACTAATTAGTAATTCATTTATTTTAAAATTATAAATTCCATTATTTTTTTATTTTTTATAAAACTAATTAATTTTAGCAAAAATCAATTATATTTTTTTAAAAAAAATTATAATAATACAATTTTTATATATTGTAAAATTAATCTATCTATTTATTAAAAATGTAATTATAATAAAACTTTATTAATTACAACTTGCAATTTATAATCACAACTCTTAAGCACAATTATTTAAAATAGTTGAGATGTTAACTTTAATTAAAATTAAGTTAAACCTATTTAAATTATTTAATGTAAAAAATACAAATAAATTATAATAAATAAAATTTTAATAATAAACTATTATAAATGTTATAATATAATAAAACTGCATTTATAAAAATAAAAATAAAATAAAAATAAAAATAATAAAATATTATTAGTTTAAAAGAAAGAGTTTTGTTTTTTATTATATCTGTGATATCTGTAATATATTGCATATTAAGCATTTTAGGTAAAATTACATAAGTTTCTAAAATACATATAAAAAATGAAAAGAGGAGGAGTGTAATACAGGTGACAAAAAAGAGTATAATGCATTGCAGATGTAATAAATTATAAATTCCAAAAGAAAAAATAATCATATTAAATACTAATTTATAAAAAATTAGTATAATTATTATATAAATTTGTTTTTTGTTAAAAAGTTAAAAAGTTGCATTATACTTTTATTAAATGAAGATATAAGTATCACTATTCTAATACAAAACAAAAACTCATGCATTTTTTATACTATAAAAATTAATATAGATAAATAATAAATATTAAAATATATTATATAATAAATTCATAATCAAGAGTATATATACCAATTAGATATTTTTTAATAAAGTTTTAAGAATTTTTTTGGAATAATTCATCTTAGTAAAATAATCAAATGAATTATATTTATAGGTGTTGAATTATAAAAGTGGTATTTTACCTAAAATTTATTATTAAATAATGCTGATCTCTTACAAATTGGCTCTTATAAAAAGAAATATAAACCTATCAATTTATTAAATTTTTATTAAATAGCCAATACTTTGTTTAAAATTAAAAAAATTTAATTAGAATTATTGATATTTAATACTTGATGAAATTCCAATGGATTACCATTAAGTTGATTAATTATTTATCATGTAAGTAAACAAATTTGTGATTGAATTATACTATCTTTTTATAGTGTTTCCGTGTATTCTAATACCAATAGTCCAATTATCTATTTATCACACGGAATGCTGCTTTATTATTATTTTATTTTTTCTAAAAGAAAAAAAAGTATTGTCTATATATTTTTTATGAATCTTGGTTTATTAAAAGGAAAAAATACACATTATACTAGATCTATTTCTGACCAGCATTATATATAGTCAATACTAATCGGCCAGAGTTAGACCAAATTTTTAAATAAGAAATTTAAATTACGCAAAAAGTATACAATTTAGTATACAAGTAAGTTAAATAGTATTTGGTATTTTATATAATTGCATATAGCTGACTTTACCAGCTATAAACGCCTCTTGATCACAGTCCTGTCCTGATACAACAACTAATTGAATCAAATCAGAGATTACTATAGTTAATGCAACTTAATTAAAAAGAAACGAAAATAAATCTACTTACAAAAAAAATATCAACATAAACATCCAAGGAGAATGAACAGAAAAAAAAAATATATAATAATAGAAGAAGCAAGGTTACAAATGTTTCAAAGTATTACCCCATTTCAGATATAAAATAATTAGAGATGTGAGTGAGAGAATGTTTTTAAAACAAATTTGAAACCAAGCCCAAAAGAAAATATAAATAATGACATGAAAAGTGAACAACTAAAAATGCACACCACTACTCTAACCAAAAAATCAATTTTGACGACCGTGACAAAGAATTTACAAATGATGTTTTTAAAGGAAAAAAAAGAATAAAAAAGTCTATCTATTATAACCTGGATATTCAAATAATAAATAAATAAATAAATAAAAAAAGCATTTTAATGAAAATATTTAATCAGTTCATATTATATAACGTTTTGAGATGAAAACAAGTAATAATTTTTTTTTTTTTAAAAAAAAAAACAACTTACTCGCTAATTAATAATAAATATTTATTTATTTTTTTTTTTCAAGTACAGCCAAAAATTTTAGAATAAAGAAAAGATAAGTAAAACAATCTTTATTCGCGAGTTAATGGCAAACAAAAACGAATAATAAAGTTCATACGTACGTAAAAATGAAAAGATTATTAGTTGCAGCCACAGCAATCGAATTTTCGTTTGGATGCCATGAAGCGTGAAGAATTTTCTTATTAAAATCAATGGCATCAACGTTAATTTCTTCCTTTCTATTATTAGTTTTTCCACGCGAAAGCATCGACTTATTCTTTGCTGATCCGACACGCTTAGCTTTGAATGCACTCTTATCAGCTTGCAAAGCAATATCGGACAATCCCTCTCGGTCATAAATATGGAAATAATTATTGTACGAGCCAGTTAGGACATTTCTAGAATGAAAAATGAATATGAATCATTTCTTAGTCAATCTTGATAAACCTAAATATATGTGTATATATATATACATATTGAAGAATTTTCTAAAATAACTTACTGTCCATCCCCACTAAAAGTACATTCAAATTTGTCAAAAATACAATCATTTTCATAAAGATCACAAAGTTTATTTCGCAAATGATCATGAATATTGATTGTTTTCAGTGGTCGATTTTCCATAGTTATGTCCCAGATTTTCAGAGTCAAATAGTCACGCGAAAGAATATACTTTCCATCTTTGCTGAACTTAACATCAGAAATAGATGAAATAATTTCTGAGAAAAAAGATTTATTGGCAGGATCTTCTTGTTCCTCAAATACTTTGAAAATAAAGTAAATTTATAAATATTTGGCTAATTTTCATAATCATTTAGTTAAAAAAAAAAACCAGCTCACATTTTGCATGTTGATCACATAATGCCGCCGCCCTCATATCACTTAATTTTATAGTCCCTTTACTGCTACTGTACATAAACAAATTACAATGAAGAGGATGAAATTCTGCTGCGGTAATAACTTCAGTTAATTCTTCCATATTAACTGGTTTAATATCAACAATATCTAAAAAATGGCTAAAATTAAGGAACCTTAATTATTAAAAAAAAAAATGTTAAAATTAGTCATTATTTGTCCTAAAAAAGGATACTAAAACTTTGGTCGCTAATATTTAAATTCCATAAATTGATTCTTAGGTCATCCGCAGATATATACGTTTCACCATCAGAATTAATAGATATGGAATTAATATGATATGCATGAGCATTAGCATATACTTTGCGAGGAACGGCAGCAATAATTGTGTCGTGATGTGTAAGTTTCGGTAACTTCAGCTGTTGGATTCTGCCATTTTGAGGTCGTGCACCATCATTTAAATTATTTTCGGCGACAACTTTCAAAGATTTTTCAAACACTTTCCAAAGTTTGATAGTCTTGTCTGTAATGAAAGAACTAAATTTAATTTTGATTGGAATTTGATAAAATTTTCATGGTTTATTTGTATTTACCGTTGGTAGACAATAAAAAATGCGCAGCATTCTGTCGCTTGCACCATTTAATCTTGTTAATCTTTTCTTCAATTTCCAAGCTTTTCAAATAATCGAATTCAGGCTCGTGCGATTGAAATTCGGTGTAGAATTTGTATTCACAACCTTTCTTCTGAATTTCATTTAAAATTAGAGAAATTCTAGAAGAATAAAATAATAACAATTACAATGAATTACATACCCCATCGTTGCGTTCAAATAATACTACTCGTCCTCCTTTATCTCCAGTGGCAAGGTAATCACCAGTATGGTCAAATTCCACGGTCGAGATAATGTCAGCTGCATATTGGAAATATAGTTGTGAGACCTATTGAATCTCTGATGTAAAAGAGAAAGCGACATCAAAATGATTCACGATCTGGCATTTGGAGCCTATTCATAACTGCTCCACGCCAATATTTATTCTAGTAAACCTGTTTTTTATGCAACTAAACTATAGTTTCTCTACCCTACGACGATCGATTGAGAGTATTTGCAAGAAATTGATCACAATAAGTGCCAAAAAAATCAAAGAATGATCGACACGCAATCTCGGCGCTTATTTGTGAGTACATAAAATTCTCTTGCACATCAACCGAATACCATAAAAGGTAGGAAAAACTAATGTTCATCAAACACCGGTGGTTCGATCTCGGTTTGTAAGTTAAAAAGTCCAGAAGGTCAAAAGGACAATTACCTTCTGTAATGTCCTCGACCTCGCCCTTGTCACCAAAGCATTGAGCAAATTTCCAACCACTGTCCGAATCGGCCATATTAGTATAAGTGTATTACCCGTTAAAAGAAAGAAGTCGGCTTTTTTCAGATAGGAAGGAAAAAATAATCAAGCAAGAAGACGTCTTTTTGGAGGAACGTGCGCGACCAGATATATGCCAGGCGTTAAGATAGTTGGATGTCTACTGACGGATGGATGGAGGTCGTCAACACAGTCGTTCGTATTTTCGAGTTTTGTTCGGGCGTGTTGGATATCGTTGAATTTTAAGTGTGCAGATTTTAAAGTCACACTAAGAACATGGATATCACGCACCGTCGCACCCACATTTCACATGATATTTATCTCACATCGTTGTGACGTATAGCAGAACTCTATATAAAGATTAAAAAGATTGTAATAGTGTTACTGCTAACAGTGCTACATAAACGATTGAGCAATTGTGGCCGATTTTAACATCAGTTCGCGTGTTCATATAAATGTTTGATCAAAAAGTGAATTATTTAATTATCTTAACCATAAAGAGCATATATTAAAAACCGGGTATTTTTATTGGGAAATTAGCTAGCCAATGAAGGAAGTATCTATTTCATCTATGTTTCTATCTTTCAGCTCTATTTTATGTAGCACGCATGCCAAGTATTTTGAACTGAAAGTCATGTGCATAATGTGAAAAAATTTGGATATCATATTACTCGTAAATATCAAATTGCTATGTTTTCATATCACTTTTTACCTATTTAGTAATAATCAAATCTAGGCCAAAAAGTAGGATTTTCATTAAGATTTTGATATGTTGTTACATTTGATACGAAATATCCGCTCAATAACATCATTTAAATTTGGAACCATTAAAGCAAATTCAACTTGTTACGATTATTGAGAGTTACATTTGGATCTAATATTCTTAACATAAGTAGATTTCGGAAATCTATCTTTTAAACTTTTAATAGTTGATTGCACAAATTTTAATAATGATTATGAAATAAAGGAAATTTATAATACCATAAAATTATTTATCAAAATTAAAATTGAAACTTACTTGACAAAAAATTATAATGTGGTTAGGATTAATTACCGCCGATAATTCATAACCTGATTGGAAATTAAAATTTTAGAATAAAATTTGTATTTGTATCCTTTGCTGAATTAATGCTAAATGAATATTATTAAGAATTATGGATTTCCGCTACCCATCTTATTCAACAAACAATATTGTATTAATAGAATTTGAAAAAAAAGTATCGGTTTTTAACAATCTGTTAAAATAAAGAACTTACTTGGCTTCTATACAATATTAATTTGGATATCACAAAGGTTAAACAAGAATTTCATCTTAATAAAGTAGACGATCCTACATATTATGTTTAATAATTAATATAGTTGTTGGCAAAAAAATAAACACAAACCTGATATATACTCTTGCAAGCAATCTTGTGAATCGATTGCTTCAAGTAATGATTCTACAGATGTCATTCCCAAATGGTATAAAATTGTAATATAATAAATTAATAATTGTGTTTTTGATACTCAATTGCTTACACCTACTGATAAACTCAAATAAGATTTGGACTCTAATATTTCACGTCCACTAACTTAATTTGGATATGTAACAAATTGTAGTTAAATTGGTGGTCGAAAGAAATATCACTAACCATAGAGGCAGGATTTTCTCTTGATAATTAACCAAACTAGCTAAATCAGGATAAGTATGAATATTGAATAATAATATTTTTATGAAGTTACAATCAATTTTCCACTTCCGATTTATACTTTCTCTGGGCTAGATCTTTTAGCAGATTCTAATGCATGTCGTTGTCCAAATCTATTTACTATTTGATAAATTTTTTTTTAAGTAAAATTTCGTCTGGATCTTGATTCGTTTTGGTAAAAAATATCTTTTTTTTGTACTTTCATTATTGCAAGGACGACGTCCAGAAGGAAATGAATTTAAATTTGGCATTGATGTGAGAATTTGGATCGGTTAAACAAATAGGAGGGAAAAAATCCGTGCTATAGTAGTAACGAACACTAAGAATGTGTCATAAAAAAGAGTTAATAAACTGATATACCTTGGTCGCTTGACAGTACAGCTAACTAATCCAGAATATTATTTTTTACCTCAATATTGAGTTAATCGAGTTAACCATATTCAAAATCAATTCTCTTGGCGTAATTTATCATCCTTCCTTTTACAGACATTGTTCTTAAAAATAAATCCATATAATACCATAATCCATGATTTTTCTAATTAAATTATTCGAGTAGAAATTTCGATAGCTTTGGGACCTGAAAAGAAAAAAGTTGGAAAAGAACGATTATAACGTGTCACAAGATGTGCATAATCTTGTACTACATACTGTTTAGTGTATGCTTGTGACGTCACATGTACATTAACTTTTTCATTAAATTAAAGTTTAATTTTTTCCGATAAACTTAAGGTTAATAGAACGCTAAAAAAGATAAGCAACATAGACAATGAAAATTATAGTGTATGATATAAACAGATGGAACTCTGATTGATTGAAATTTATAACTTTACATTTCCAACAAGAGTGAGTATTTCCAAAGGAAAGAGCTGATCATACATATTAGCTGGCCATGTGCATAACTGGTAAAACTTCGACGTAGATTCGATCTATCTTACTGTTCCTAATATAGTTTATTCTGTATCCACGCAATCACGCAACAAGGTTTCATCCACATAGAGCTTATATTACACGTAAATATATAAAAAAATTTGCAATTTCAACGAAAGCTTTTCTTTTTCATTACTTTATTGTTTATAATTAACAATTTAGATTTGTAATTTCCCAATATAATTATAAAAAATATTAATGTAACAATGAAAAGAACAAATAGGTATCTATAGTTTTTGTAAAATAAAAATTTTATGAGAATAAAAACTTATAGCCCGTTTGTTGTAATTGTTGTCGTAACATGTTGAAGGATTATGATCTGTGCTTAGTGTGGACAATTTACCTTCATTCATATGGAAAGAGCGGTTGTTTCACATATCTTCTTTTATAATTAACATCATCGTTAATTTCTAGACTTGTTAAATTAGAAATATTTGAACTTTATGTGATATTGTGATCCTTTTGAACATCATTATCATTATGGCATTATGCACTAACACGTGATTGCGACTGTGTAACGAACGGCATGTGACAAATAAGTATATTAAGTCACGTGAGATCTTATATGATCGTACCACAATCTATTTATAATGGATTGTTCTTGATTTATTATTTTATTCTACTTTTTTTTTGTGATAATACAAAGAATCAACAGACTGAATCTAATGTTACCGCTGAGCAATATTATTATAAATTACGGTAAAAATTATGAGAACAACACTTTACATGATATAATTTTTACTCAATAAAGTTAACTTTATTTTCAAGATTCCAAAATTTTTCGTTGAATTAGTGAATAATATTCATTATTCGACTTCATCAGCTTCTGGATCAGTATCTTCATCACCAGAAACTTCAGCATTCTCTTTCTCTACACGTGCCATAAGCGCTGCAAGTTCAAGATCATCTGTTTCACTAACAGCTCTTGGCTTATTAATAATCATAATTATTAGTTATTAAATTTTAAGACCAATAATAAACAAAAAAAAAAGTTATCTTAATATAAACCTTCATTTTAACTGTTAATGTGCCCCCAGATTTTTCAATACCGTCTCGAACAGTTTCAATTGCTTTTCCTAATAATTCAATTCCCATATTTTTATCAAGTGCATTGGTAATCATGACATACAGCGGAGGAGCTACTAGTTTAACCTAGAAAGCAAAGTTAAGATAAATAAGAGGATATAATTGATGATACCTTTGAAATTTTACCTTAATTTGGATATCCCCTGTTTCACATGCTTCTCCAGCTTTAAGTGCAGATTTAATAGCATCGATACCATCATAACCAAAGCAAGTAACTTCGATATCTGTTCATAGAGAAACTGTTAGAGACTCTACTGATAAGAAGAATACGTTAAAAAAAAAAAAAATACAAACCAGCTCGAATTTTAATAGGTTGTGGTGTCAATCGCCTTTTTATATTATTTAACAATTCTTCACTGATTTCAGGAGTTATCTCGAGACCTTCAAAAACTTTTTCAGGCTCTCTTAACGAATAAAATAAATTAATATAATATAGTCTAATCAATTGTACTTATAATAACAATATAATAACTTACGTGATTGCCAGTTTGAATGCTTCGTATGCATGACCATATTTTTTGTATAATGGCCATCCAATCTTTTGATAAAGATCTTCAAGTACAAGGTTTTGCTTTTCGGCAACATGTCGCATTATACTGTGAACCTGTCAATAATGGTGATTAGTTAATTACTTTAAAATAGAATAAGAAAATTACAAAACGATACGAAACTGCTTTAGACTTGTTAAATTTCTCTTCAGCTTTGGCAACATCTTCCGGAGAAACTCGACGTTTAGATAAATCAATATAACCTAATCAAGAGATATTTATTAATTAAGATGTTTAATAAATAAAATATAATTAAATGATTAGGATAAGTTTACCTTTATCTTTATCCACCCTCAATACTACTACAACTTCATTTCTGCCAACCCGAATAAGTTTTTGAATACTACGAATACGCCTTCTAGACAATTCGGATAATAGTATCATACCTTCAATATTATCGTATTCTAGCTAAATAATAAAAATTAGTTAATTAATTGAGAATAATACAAAAAATTACAAGAATACGAATACAATACCAGCTTGACATAAGCTCCCATTTCTGCGATTTGGCGAACATTGACCATAACCAGATCTTCTTTCTCAGGGAACCTTTCCTCATACATGCGGCATTGAAATTGCTGTGGATTTGACATTGTGATTAAAAGCTATGTTACTGATACAGTCAGGTTAATTTTTAATCAAAAAAAAAAATTTTTTGGATGACTCATAATTGACCCATCGGTTACACAACCGATCTCCGACTTTGACCAAAAAAAAAAGGGATTGCTTTTGCTGCGATTATCTCTACATAGTAATTCTATATGTGGAGGTCGTCTAAAGCAGATCTTCCCCAGTGTCGCCCCAAGATTTTTCGCCCCCACGTGACCTGCATAAAATGTCACCCCGCGTCACACCTCACCGTTTTCATTTTTTCATAAGTATTCTGGGGACTAAGAAAATTTTTAGTGGTGAAAAGAATTTTTTCACTCCCCTTAAACATCACCGGTCACGTGGGGGTGGAATTTTACTTAGAAATCTTGGGGTAAATCTAAAGCAGAGGCAAATCACGTGATTCGTTATAATTTTGATTAGATTAATTTTTTATAAGCAAAGATTAATATAAACTTTAAAATCATAAAATAAGTGTATTTTAATCTGCTTTGCAAGTTCACTTAAGGAAAAAAAGTGGATTTTGAATATTGTTTTTGACTTTACATATGAATGAACAAAACTTTGCCAATTATATCTAAAAATGGATAACAAAAATGAAAAAAGTCAAATAAATCAAAAACATGATTCAAAACCCTACTCTGCGCTCTAAGTAAACTTGCAGAGCAGGCAAAAATACATTTAGCATGTATGTTTAAAATGGTTGTATATATGGTAAAAAGATTTATTTATAAAAAACAATTTTTTTCAGAGTTACGTGATTTGCCCTTACTTTAGACATTCTCTATATGTGGCAATATGAGCACAATACAAACATACTGTAATAACTGTATATTTAAAATAGTAGAGAATTTTTCAATCGAATTCTTTTTCATCATGAAAAAAAAAAGTTTTTTAACCATTTATAGAATTATCCAAAACTTTTATAATGAACCACTTAATTCATTTTTTCTCTAAAGATTCATATGCAGTCATACTGTCATACAACTGTCATATACAAAGATTATTATTGATCAGTAGTACAGATGGTGGCCTAAATGATCTGGCCACTTTTCAATGCAAAAAAATTTACATACATATTATATATTAAAGATAAAATTTTAAGCCAAATATAATTATTACATTTTTATTTATTAATTTAAACAAAAATTTAATAATAAATTCTATCACTATTTGCAATAATGGCTTATCAATACTGAGATAGTATGCTATTAATTAATTTTTTATAATATTCTAGAAAAATATTTTTCCATATGATTTCAATGTTCTTTCTAAGTACTTTAACATAAAATTTAATAAGATAGTAGTAAGTATAATATTGTATAAGTCTTACAGAACAATATTTTTTATAATTATAGGTTCTATGCAAATGTAATTATTATGCAAGTTTTTAAAGCTTTGTAAGTTCATATAATTTAAATTTAAAAATCATTCAATAATTGGATTTTCATAATTTTAGATTTATTATATTTGTCTCATTAAGAGGATTAGAATTATAAAAATTTTGTATTTGTACTTTGTAGGATTCAATCTTTGGCATGTAATTACACCTTAAAAGTCTAAATATTAAATTTGGAAATTTTTTATAATATTTTTTGTTTTTAATAATTGGATTTTAATAATTATTGGCTCATTAGATTCGCCTTATTGAGACGATTCAGATGGTGGTAAATTCATAATTATCTGATCGATATTGACCGAATTACAATATTTTTAATCTTATAAATTTTGTTATTGTGTAATTGTAAAAATTTATGCAGTAAATGGTTCCATATTTCCAAAAAAATTCTGAAATTTTATAAAGGAATTGAAGTATGGAAATTTATTTATTGCTATTATTAATACAAAATTAAATATTTTTTATATTATGCTAACATGTAATGATCTGTATAATTTTGGCAAAATTAATTGGCTGAATCATTTAGGCCACCATCTGTAATTCTGGCCAAATTATAATTTTGGCCAGAATTATAAAATGGCTATGCTGATCATATCCTTTTTTGGTGATAGCCATTCCACAAATTTTACTTTTTCTAAAAAATGAAAATTTCCTTTTTGGAATTTATGTAACAATCAATTTTCTAAATGGAAATTATAATTCTGGTTAAAATTTATAATTTAGCTAGAATTATACTGATTTAAATTGGATGGTCCATTATTTTTGCAAATAGCTGTAAAACTAAAAGTTTTTAATTAATTGCTATAAAAATATTAAGTGTAATAAAAAATGAAGATTTTTAACAATAAAATTAAATTTTTAATATAATAATTCTAGAGTATTCTTTTTAGATTATTATACTTACTTTTTTGCAAAAAGTTTGAAAAAAAAAAATGCTTTGCTTTTTTGAAAAAGTCTTTTAGCTTTATAAAAATTCTAATTATTTAGAAATGTGATTTAACATAACTTTAACTTTGCATTTTAAAATTTTTACTACTTTTAGGTAGCCTATTATAACTAAATAATATAATATATTATTTAGTTATAATTAGCTTAGATTAGGTTATTTAATATAAAATAATCTAAATATAACTAAATAATCCAAATAATCTAAATATAATTAGATAAACTAAATATAACTAAATAATTTAAATATAATAAATAATCTAAAGTTAATAATTTGGATATGATTAAATAATCTAATTACAGTCATTTTTAAAATAGTTGATGCTATTTATTTATAATTAAATATTCGAATACCAATATTTGTCCATTATTTATCTAGTTTTCATTTGGTTTTCAGTTTTTCATTTTTTTTCATTTAAACATAACAGCATCAACTATTTTGAAAATAGCGATAAATAATTAAATAACTTAAATGTGATAATTTTTTATATCTTCTTATTTTTCCTATTATATTCCTTACCTTTGAAATCACTTTTCCATACCTTTTTCCTATTTATTATTTGTGATCATATGGTTAAATAACTGAAATATAATTATAACCAAATAATTTAAATATGCCTATTTTTGTTATGTGTTATGTATTGATAAATATTTTTTATTATAATTTGTGCTGGTAAAAGAGGACCCGTCTACTATTAAGATATGTCCGGTAGAAATTTCACTTTCATATGAAATCTTACCTTAGGATTTGCTTAAATTCTATTGGTTAATTAACTAAAATTCTTTCTATTATTTTTTGCATCAAATAATTGGATGTACAATCTAGTTATTGCCAAACTGGGAGTGCATCAAGAAAAAAATCACGTGTTCTGAAATGAAACACCGATCACTTGTTAAAAAAAAATTCTCGTAATACACATAGATGTCTGTATAATGCAATAAAATAGTAAAGTGATGAAATGTTGATATAACTTTTTTTTATTGATCCGATGTAAAAATGCCCTGCCAATATTACAAATTATAAAGCATAAAAAAAAAATATATATAGAAAAAAAAATTTTTTGCATATCAATAATTGCATTTTTATTATCGGAGATTTCTATTCGCACCCTCACATCACATCCGCACACAAAATATACAAGACTATGTGAGTAAACTAATAAATTTTTTGATTACACGAGCTAAATAATACAAGATTTTTTTTTTGCAAATTGCTTAATAGTAAACAAAAAAAAATTTAGTTTCACTTGATTTTTTTTGCTTATATTTGCGAAGACAGATAAGTGACCGACCGCATCACGAAGATCTGATCATCAGATTTACCCGCGCAAATCGTTAATTATGTGCTAGAACTTTCCGGAAAAATAAACTTGCAGTATACACTGCGGATGTTACATGTGTAAATAATGTCGAGACAAGTTCAGGAATCGCATTCACATCGCTTATGTATAACTTCATTTTAAATTTGTGTAACCTTGAAGAGATTTACCACCATATCAATTTCGGGTGGTAATATTAGACATGCAGAAGATACCAAATTGGTAAAAAAAGCGCGTGAGTTTAATACTTTTTTCTTCTATATAAATTATCTAATTTTAATTTTTTGTTAAAAATAGATGTAGTGTAGTAGATAATCGTTTTGAAAAGAGTAAAAAAAAATAAAGAGTAAAAAAAAATTACAACGTAACATCATTGATTATATTGATACATGAAATTCGGACAGGTTGTCAAGTTGTCAATCAGGCACAAATATTGTTAGTTACATCAGTTCTTGAAGTTCTTGAGGAATAATTTAACCGTGGTCACGATTAATGATCAGTAGCCCCGAGATGAGCGTATCGAGTGACTGATCAGATTTTTAATAATTTTCCAATCTGTAGAAGTTTGTGTTGTTCTGATAGTCTTATCAATAGCAGCCGGGGACGAGAAGCGGGTAGTGTAGGTTCTTTGAGTGATTTTTTTAAAGGGGCTTTCGTATTGACAGCAAAATAGCGAATGTTCCAGAGATGCTAAACAGGCCTCAGTATATATCTTGATTTTTAGTGGTCCATGGTCTCAAAATGATGCATCAAATTATACTTATCCTTAGCTTTTGTAACTTCACTGATGCACTTATTGAGGAAATGGCTCGCTCATGCCTCAATTTAAAATTTCTTGATTTGGAGGGTGTAATGATATTAGTAAAAAAGCTGTAGATCGGCTCGATTCACTTGATCTAGAAATCCATATCAAGAATTTCGAGGAAAACAGCTGGTCTGATTTAGATTCATCTGGAACAGAGTCTGAAACTGATTCGGATTTTATAACCGCATTTGAAGATTATATCAGACAGCCCAGTATTGATGCAGGTTCAGATTTAATGATTATAACAGAAATACAGCAAATTGTTTATTGTTTAGGATTAATGATCATCCAATCGGTCTATTTTTAGGTGAAGAAGGTGAAGAAATAGTTTTTTTAAAGCGAGAAGTAAGTTAAATTTTATTTGAAGCTTTTTTTAACTATCTTCCAGTCTAAAGCCTGTGAGATATTGTTTAAGGAAATTAACTAAATAATACTTGTAAAGTTAAAGCCATCGTTGTAAGAGTACTTTAAAAAAAAATTTATTAAATTACATTAAAAAGTATTGCAAATCACATACTTTTTGAGGGAAAAAAATTCATCCTGCTTTGGCGATTATTTCTTCTTGCTTACTTTTTTCTTGATTGTTTCATCTCCGACAAATATACCCTTCTGATTATATGGCTCAGGTGGTTTGTGTTTTCTTATATTTGCAGCAAATTGAAATACTCTTTGCTTATCAGTTCCACTTAATATAACCTTCGTTGGACTAGGTGTGATACATTTAATGTCATCAGGAACATCCATTATGACAGGATGAGCATATCCAATTCTAAGAACAAGCTTATCATCTTCCATGTTAGCCCTGTAACCTACTCCAGAAAATCTCACTAACACTCTATAACCTTCACTAACACCAATAACACAATTATTAATTAATGCTCTTGTTGTTCCCCACATTTGTCTTTGCTGTTTTATAGTTTTATCCCTAACTTCTACGCTAAGTTTTTTATCCTGATCGCTATCGTCTACGAACACACTTTCGTCTGAAGATTTGTCCTTACTGGTGTTTTTATCATTTTTTTTCGAATCGTTAAAATTAAGTTTTACATAAGGTTTAATAGGCATAGAATGAGTACCTAAAGGCCCTGATATTGTTAATGTTGTAGAAAAAAGATCTGCTTGGATTTGTGTTTGAGTAATTGGAGTTGGATCATGTGTAATAGTAACTTCAGATGGATAAGTTATTGGTTTACGTCCAATTTGCGAAGAAAGTGATTGAGTTGTGGACAGAAACCTTGGAAGGATTTGAGATTGAAAAAAATTATATCTATAGTCATTTTTTACTGATAAAGAGACGCATGTAATAAGTGTAGATTTTATATTATTTAAAGAAATTTTCAGAGTTAACATTTTAAAGACCGATGTAGAACATTATTTTATTATTGATTATCAATGTAGAGAATCTACCAGTAGTCACGTGCCTTGACATAACACGTGTCTTCCTTTTGTTAAATTTAGGTTCGGTATTTCCGTTTTTAATCTTATTTTAGAACACCTCATAGTGATTTTCATCAATATTCTAAGATATTCTAAATCTAATTTCCCTGCAATATTTATGAGATAATAAATTATTTATTTATAATTTAAATTAATTAATTAATTAGAAATATTATAAGGCTATAATTATTATATGCGAACTAATAAGATAAAAAAAAAAAAAAAAAAAAAAAAAAATTTTTTTCTTCTAATTGGTATCTACAATACTATTTGGATATTTGAATTGTTACAACAAAGTAAATAACTTTCAATGTCGAAAAGTGGAGCAAAGCAAAGCGATCAAAAAACTTTAAGACAAATTAAGTTATTTTTTAACTCAATTCATCCATTATAAATAAATTTTACAAGACAATATTTTCTAATTTATTTTGTGACATCATATTTTATAAAGAAAATTGGCAAATTTCCCAAAAAAAGACATCTTTAAATAAAATTGTAGAAGTTCTAATTTTAAAAAAAATCTATTTGTTTGTTTGATTTCAAACATGCAGCTCCTTACATATAAAATATATAATATAATTTTGTGTACGTCTATCTTTTTTTTTTTTATTAATGCGTAATGTGTTGAAGAACTTATTAGGTAAAGGCAGTTTTTCGTGTACCAATCGAAGTATTGTAATACACTTATTTCCAAAAATGTACATGAACCTTAATTAGTATGGAATTTGAAGTACAAGTAGGTATCATCATATTGTTATAGTAAGTTTAAATTTCATCCACGAACCCTTCGTGGTCAACCTATGCTCCAATCGTACCCGCTACGGTGAATACACCATACCTTTCCTTCCCGCAATGCTCAGCGCGCAACACACTAGTACGGAGGTCCAACCTGCCGCTGACCATGCTCTCCTTATCCTCTATGCGGAAGGAGGGTTGGGAGAACCCAACTTCATCCACTATCCTTCCCAACCTTCCCGTTCAACGAAAATGTTTAAACGAGCCGAAAATAATAACGAATCTGAAGTTCTTAAAGTCAGGTTCGGTCAGACTACCACTGTTATTGACGACCGTATAATATTAATAGGTGGTAGTGAGTCAGTCGAAGGGATTTTACCGTCAAATTCGCTTGTCTTAAACTCTACTTCGTTGAACGTAAACGAACAGAAAGTAACATTGCCCGTGTTGGGTCACGGGGCTGTGCCCATACGTGGCTCAAAAATTCTGATAACGTTCGGTATTCAAGCAATAGCCCCACAAAGAATGTTTGCAACCCCAATTCAAGAAATTGATGTAAATACAATGAATGTTATTCCTTCTCCACAATTTATTAAAGGTGAAGTTCCTCAATCAAGATATGATCATACGACTACAAAAATTGATGATGATAAAATTTTTATATATGGTGGCAGAAACAAGGATGAAGTAGTTCTAGGAGATCTATTTTATTTAGACCTTAATTCAAATAGTTGGAATTTCATAAACCAACCTTCTCATCCAATTGCAGGGCATTCATCAATATTAGTTAATAATTATTTAATATCTTGCTTTGGTATAGATGCAAATACTAAAGTTATTAATGATTGTAATATTTTCGATATTTTCACTAATACTTTTATTCAGCCAATAATAAATGAAGTACCTCCAATACCTCGAACATTATCTTCTATGGTATCATTTGAAAATAATAAAGGTATTATCTATATATTTGGTGGAATTGATGAAAATAACAATGGGTTAAACGATCTTTATAAGTTGGATGTATCAAAAGCACCTACATTATCATGGTCTCCAATAATTGTTAACTCTAAAACAACGAACAATAAATTAATACCGTCTGGCCGAGGGGCTCATAGTGCCTTTACGATCGAGGATACTGACATAATGACGATTTGGGGTGGAATATCTAATGGAAACCAATTAGTCGACCCAAATTTTTATTTTTTTGACATTAGAGGCAATGCTTGGGTTGACAAGAACTTTTATATTGGGAAAGCAAACCCTGCACAAATAAGTTTGGATGGTATAAAAAAGCCTGAATCAAACATAATTGTAGTGATCTTTGGAATTATCGGTACTATTATCCTAATTATAGGACTCTTAGGCTTTTTCATAATACGCAAGCGAAGATTGTTTCAAAAATTCCAGAAAAAAGAAATTAATAATGAACCTTATAGTCAATCTGATCAATTTGGAAGTAATACATATCTTATTAGTGATTTCGAATCCAAACAAGCCCAATTCAAAATAATAGATGAACCGGAACCGGTTCCAGAACCCATACCTCCACCAATACAACAAATACCACAATCTTCACCAACTTTATCCTCGCCACCAACGAATGTTGAAAAAGAGCCAGAGACATCAAATAATCGACAACATAATGATTCTATCATATCAACAACACCTAAAAAAATGTCTTTTGGTAAATTACCAGCCTTATCGAATACCGAATCAACATCAGAAACACAGCGTATGAAACGATCTCATAAACGTACTTCATCAGTGTCTTTAACTTCTTCCGAATTAGCAAGTATTACTCGTTCTCGCAATTTTACACATCATAAATCATCATTGTCTACAAATAGTATAAGTTGTTCAGTAAATCGACCAAATTCGCACTATAATTCACGAAAGTCACTATCAAATTTCCTTGATACTGTTTCTGAAAAAGGTTCCAATAATCGTATTTCAAGTACTTCTGATAGATCGGTAAATTCTGTTCAATGGGTAGGATTTAATAGCTCTATGATTTATGAACAGGAAGAAAATCGTGATTCTTTACATGTACGAAATTTACCTTATAAACAACAAAAAAATTCTACAAAATATCACGAAAATAGTTATTCGTCCGAAGATGAAGAATATACAATTAATGGCGATTACATAGATACTTCACCTCGTGTGAATAATAATTACAATCGTAATATTTTTGACCATGATGAAGTAATAAGAGCGTACGATGTGAGCCAAAGGAAAAATAACCCACAAAATTATTCTGCAAGGAATAATATTCCAAGACAAGGAAACATTGCTAATGAAAATATTTCACGAGAAAGTGGAATTATCGATCATGAGTCACCTTCAAGTTCATATGAATCAAGCGACACAAGTAATGAAGATGATAAATATAGTAGCATGAAAAAATCTAAGCGTTCATCAAAAGGAATTAGTAGAGTTTCTTTTGCACTTAAAGATGAAAAGATTGAGTTTGATGAAAATGAATCTTCAAGTACAGTTTCTTTAAAACGACGATCATTATCAAGTCAAAGTAGTACATCATCTAGTAGTAGTGCGACACCTTCTATTATTGAGGAGGAAATTGATATACTGAACCATTAAAAGGCTATCGTGTATTAAATAATACAACCAATCCAATCTTAAAATAAATCGTATGATGATGAATCTAATTTAACAGGTTTTCCTTCTAATGTATGTGATTTGTCAAATACACACATCCATCATCGCTGATAGAAAAAGCAATTTACCTTATTAATGGCTAGTCTATAGAGTAATCGCAGATAATAGAAAAAGGCATCGTTTCTGAGTTAATTATATAATAATTTATTTAATCTTCTAATTTAATTATCATCACTTCTCTATATTTTTTTGCTAATTCAAATTCATACGCTTAACAATTTACGTCAATTCTGTTCGTAATTTCGCCGAAAAATTTAACAAAAAAAAAAATTATTGTCACGCTTTAGAAACCAAACAATGTAAATGCAACTGATTTAAAAAAATTAATTTGTGTATTCACCCTTTTAAACAAAACACTCTTTTTATCTGCTCTGAGTTTCTTGGTTTTTATCTCTAATTTAAATCGATGAAACTTAACTGTTACCTTTTTTTACCCTTTTGTTTTCTGATTGGAGCTGTAGATAATGATAAATAATATAAAACCCTTCCAATTTATCGACAAAAATTATTACCACTATTTCTCGCTTTTTATTTCCTTTTTATATATATATATTTTTTATATACAGCTTCCTTTATTTCCCCTATTCACATTTCCCTTTTCCCCTTTAATTCTTTCTACTCTTTACCCTTTTTCTTTTTTATAAATTGAGGTTTTTTATAGCTATTGACCTTTATTTAATTATTATTTTTTTGTAAAGTTTAACTCTGAACATTCAAGAAATTAATTTTTCCAGATCAGATCTTGATTACTAAAATGTTTAAAAAAGAAAAAAGATTTCTGTTCAATATTTTTGATACTAAATTTGTATTTTTATTTTTGCTTTTTATCTAAAAAAAAATGGGATTTTGTATATGTATATTATTTTTGTTTTTTTTTTTCTTTTTTGTTGTACTGTACATATATTATTGTTTTCTTTTAATTTTTTTTCTTTTTTTTTACTATAAGGAGTTACAATCAAAAATAATCTTTTAAATAATTTATATGTAGTTTATTAGATCCATAATAAACGTAAAATAATGATGATAAAAAATCTCATTTTTTCTTTCTCATAAAAATTTAATCCTTTTTTTTTTTATTTATTAATGAAAAAGATCCTAGATTTTTTACAACAAAATGATTTGGTTAAATTATGATTATTTATACAATCCAGAATCCCTGAGAGATTGCAAGTACCCCAAACGATGTGGATTATCATCAGCAGGACCTAATTAAAAGATTTTAAAATTAAGGATTTCAATAAGTAACATATATATAAATAATTTAAAATCTGTTGTAAATTAAGATGTGCATACGATTAATGGGTGTCCACTTTGGTTCTTCTTTAAATAATCCTAATAGATTTATATATAATTATCATAATATTAACATTCGGTAATAAACTGAAAGAAAAAAATAATGACAAACAGACACTCAGTCACTCACGCAAAGCTTTTAAATAATCATTGGTGTCAACAATAAACCGATGATAAATTCCCGCCGGCTTAATTATAATAAGTTAATTTCGATCTTCTAACTAATTTACGACAGAGAAAAAAAAACTTACCAAAACAATTAAGTCACCTTTCACGATAGCAATACGAATCCATCGATCCAATAAATCTGTTTTTTAAAAAAAAATAAAAATACCATGAAAGAAATACAATAAATAATATTCCCTAATTTAAAAATAATTACCGCGAACATCGAAGTAACCCGAACCATCAAGGATATATCGAATTTCTTCATCTTCATGAAGATGTCTAAATAACAAAATGAATCATGAATTGCCACATTTTTCAACTTTACATGAAATTAAAAACCCACTCTTGGAAAAATATCTTCAATTTGCTTTCATATGAATCACCCAATGCCTCTTTGGAGACAGTAATCTAAAGAAATTTTTATTAATTTTTAAATTAAGAGTTTTTTAACGATGATTGTACTAACTTCATCACGATTCTTATAATTCCTTTCTTTCGCTATTCCATTTACTTTTTCAAGATAATCGTCTCCGTCAAAATGCCAATAAAGAACTCCCAAGTTTTTAAGTTCTTCAGGTGTAACAGAAGTTAAATGTTCGTGAGGTTCTTTAGGGTCAGAGTCAACATTGTCATGAAAATAAGCACGCATTTTTTATTATTGAAAAAGATATTTTCTGTATTGGCGTCTTGTCATAATATATATATTTTTTTATAGATGCCATCTTTGTTATCACTTTTTTCGGTAGTTCAGTTTAATCGGCTGATTAAATCGGGTGATTTAATATTGTGATTATATGATTACTTAATTACTTAATCAGTATATAAAAATTATTAAACTTAGTGCTTGAACAATGCTTTCAACTTACGATGTTTAGCTAATAGTTTATCTTTCTTTCTTTTTCCACATCACTTTTTTTGAACCTAACTATTATGGCTTTACTAGAGAAGGAAAACGAAAATTACGATGAACAGGTAATATAAACGTTGTCATATATTTTGTAAATATTTATTCTTTAAATAACATAATTATTGTTCCAAACTAATAGACATTGATAAACCTTGCTCTTGCACTATCTCTTGAAAAGAATGATAATAATGATTATTATAGTACAGCTCCCATGTCAATGGGCCTTGGACCATCTAGTCCTCAATTATCATCAGATACTCAACCTAATTTAGCATTTCAACATAATCAACAAAATCAATCGCCACGAATGATCATAATTCATCCCCCTAAAAATATATTTCGTAGACTGTTCGACAATTTTCTTTGGTATTTTTTTTCGATCAATTATTTCCTTTTTGCGTAAAATATTAAGTCATTCGTCTTTCATTATTTATAGGTTTTGTTTATGGAATATCAAAGCTGTGATATCTGCTGCCTCCCTTGCCTTTACGTTTGTCTTCCTAATCACTTTAAACGCTGATCACCAAAAAGAAGTTGAAATTTATATGTCAGGTATTTATTCGGGCTAGTGAAATTATTCGTTTTTCTTCGCTAATCTTTTTATTAACTAATTTAGATGCGGCACGAAAAATCAAAGAATGCAGTTTGAAATATATTGAAAATAGATGCAATCCAGCTACAAGAGCACCTTATCTGGAAGAAAATTGTACCTTTTGGGAAAATTGTATGAATCAAGATCCAAATAATATTGTTAAATCGTCAGAAATTTACGCCAAACAATTTGCTAGAATAATTTCGATATTCCTCGAAAATTTATCATATGAAGCAAGAATAATGGTGTTCATTTTTCTTGCTATTATCTTTTGCTATATAGCTATTAAGCATCATAGATAGATTTGAACAAAGATCAGCTATTCCTTAAAAAAAAATTATAATTGAACAAAGTAATATACAGTAAATAATTCAACAATATAGAATATTTAATAACTAATACGTTACATGTATAATAATTAGATTTTTTTTTTTTTTTTTTACAATTTTGGCTTTGTTGTTTCCATCCAAGCAAATTCCTAAAATTAAAAAAGATTTTTTTTTTTAACTTCATAAATCGATATATTTTTTGTGTTAAATAAACAATTAATTTTTGAACATACCAATTTTTTTTTTCCACCTGGTTGTATCATTACATTAATAATGATACATTTATTATCATCTTTTAATGCTTCACCAAGAGCATTACTCAATTCTTGAGGAGTTTTAATAAAATAACCTTTACCACCGGCCGCATTAGCAATTAAATCATACCTTACATCTGGTAACAAAGCAGTCGAAGGTAAATTATTTGTAGGTGTTTCATTATAAGATTTTGTGTCTAAACCGTGATATATTCCATTATTATTAATTATTATAATTAGTAGTGGAATATTTGCTCTAATAGCTGTTTCAATTTCCATTGCACTATAAAAAAAAAAGTGAGTTTAAATTAATTCAAAGGGATTACCGCATATATAATATATATAATTTACCTGAATCCAAATGCAGAATCTCCTACAATCGCAACGACACGTTTGTTTGGGTAATATAATTTTGCTAAGAAAATAAAAGTAAAAGTAGTAAAAATAATGAGAACGATAGAATATAATAATAAACAGTTGTAACTACACATTAAACGTACCTGCAATAGCGTATCCCATACCAACTCCCATAGTTGCCATAGTACCTAATATATATATATATGAAAAAGTTAATTATCAATATATCAAAAATCTTGAATTACAAATACAATATATACCAGCGTCTAATCGACACCTTGGTTCTTGTACATCAAAAATAGATCTAGCAATATCCATAGTATTTGCACCTTCACTCACAAATACAACATCTTCTTTGGGTAATTTTTGTTTAATTTCATAAAAGGCACGATAATAGCTCATAGGAATATTATTATCCCGAAATTTTTCATTAGTAATTTTAATGTTATAATCAATTTTTTGTTTTAATGAACTAAAATAATTTGATGTAAGAGGATATTTATAATTAGGAGGTAATGAGCTATTAAGTTGTGAAATAACTAAAGGTAAATGACCAAGTAAAGCAACATTAATCCTACTATTATTATAATGTTCTTCAGGTAATATATCAATTTGGATAAATTTTACACTTTTATTAAATTTTGGAGGTAAACCAAAACTTAAAATCCAATTTAATCTTGCGCCTAATAATAATATAACGTCTGCATTTGCCAATGCTTTCGACCTTGCAGCAGATACACATAAAGGATGAGAGTCAGGTAAAACACCTTTTCCCATTGGAGTAGGAAGGAAAGGTATATTCGTTTTTTCAACAAACTCTTTAAGTTCCTTTTCAGCACGAGAATAAGCTGCACCTTTACCAACAATTATTAAAGGATTTTCAGCATTTACAATTAATTCTATTGCCTTATTGATTCTATTTGGGTCAGCCAGTGATTTTGGTGGATCTGGTGATCGGGTTGGTAAACTATTTAGAACTTCCAAACTAACTGATCCTTGAATATAATCAGCTGGCAAATCAATGTAAACAGGTCCAGGTCTACCATACATTGATATACGTATTGCTTTATCTAATACATTTGGAATTTGCGAAATTGATGGTGGTCTTGCCGAATACTTAGTATTCGGCCTACAAAGTGTTACTTGATCTAATTCTTGAAATGCTCCCATTCCTTCTTGGTATGTATCACTTGATCCCCCAATTAAAAGAAGTGGCCAACAATTTACTTGAGCATTAATAACTCCTGCTAATGCATGTACAACTCCTGGCCCTGATACTACTAAGCAGACACCTGGACGACCTGTTAAATATCCTGTATATTCATCATAACAGAATCAAGATTAATAAATATATAAATCGATCACAACAATTTTAATTTTATTATTATTGATACCATAAGCACTTGCAGCATAACTAAGAGATTGTTCATTTCTAAATCCAACAAATCTTATCCCTTCAGAAATGATGGCCTCAGCAACCTGTCAATTAAAGATTTTCACATTCACGTGAATCGGATATATTTGAAAATGATATACAATTTTTTTTTCACATACCCACCTCTACAACAGGTATACCAACTATGCCGAAAACTACTTCAACACCTTGTTTTTTAAGTGCTTTAGCAATTAATTCTCCACCTGTAATTTTATTGTTTGCCATTACGATCAAAAAAATTATTTAACGATCATAATTTATTTATGTAGTCATAAAAGTTGCCATAGCGTCAAATAGTACAAAAATTATGCAATCTCCGTCTAACCGATTTTGTCAAAAAATTGATACAATTAAACAGACTAACAGATCAAACATTTTATTGATAATCTCTCATTTTTTATCATTAAAAAAAAAATGTCAGAATCGATATTATCATCGCTTTTTTCTTCAAATCCATATTTTTCAGCAGGAATAGGAGTTTTAGGGTTTGGAGCAGGATTAGCTGCATTACGACAAGGATTAGTTAGAGGAAGTTATTTAGTACGCAGAAAATTATTAGTATCACTCGAAATACCATCAAAAGATAAATCATATCAATGGTTTTTATATTGGATGTCAAAACGAATAAATAATAATTCCCGTAATAATACACATCAATATGCAGTACAAACATCATTTATACAACATGATAATGGAAGTATAAGTACGACATTTAGTCTTATACCGGGACCTGGAAAACACTATTTTAAATGGAGAGGAGTATGGTTACAAGTGGAAAGACAAAGGGATGCTAAATTGTTAGATATAACAAGTGGATCACCATGGGAAACAGTTACACTTACAACATTAAGTAAAGATAAATACATATTTACAGAATTGTTACAAGAATCAAGAAAACTTGCTTTGGAACAACAAGAAGGAAAAACTGTTATTTATACAAGTTGGGGACCTGAATGGAGACAATTTGGACTGCCAAGAAAACGTAGATTTTTAAATTCTGTTATTCTAGACAAAGGTATTAAAGAACGTATTTTACAAGATGTTAAAGAGTTTATTAACAACGATAAATGGTATAATGAACGCGGTATACCTTATCGTCGAGGTTATTTATTATATGGTCCTCCGGGAAGTGGTAAAAGTAGTTTTATACAAGCACTTGCCGGGGAATTAGAATATAATATATGTATAATGAATTTAAGTGAGCGTGGGCTTACTGATGATAGGCTAACCCATTTATTAAGTAATGCTCCTGAACGAAGTATTATGTTATTAGAAGATATTGATGCTGCTTTTACACAAAAGCGTCAACCAACAGATCAGCAAGGGTAAGTTACCATTAATTATGAACATGCGAAAATTTTTTTTTTTCTTAACATTAAAAATTTTTTAGATATCAGTCGATGGTTACATTTAGTGGATTATTAAATGCATTAGATGGAGTAGCATCATCGGAAGAAAGAATTATTTTCATGACAACAAATCATGTAGAATTACTTGATAAGGCTTTAATTAGGCCTGGCCGTATAGATGTTAAAGAATTATTAGGGGATGCAAGTGAATATCAAATTAAAACAATGTTTTTAAGATTTTATGAAGGTGAAAATAAATTAGCAGAAGAATTTGTACAAAAAGTCAAAGATAAAAAAATTAGTATGGCTCAATTACAAGGTCATTTTGTTTTTCATAAAAATTATCCAGAAAATTCTGTACTGTATGCTGACTCTATCACTAAATGAAGAGCATCGTTATTCTAAAATTAATAAAATTTAGTTCTTTAAATTAATACACTAGAAAATTTAATAATAAGTATATTGTGTGACTTTACACATTCTCATCAAAAACACTATACTTAATAAAAGAGACAAGAGGAGATAAAGAGGGAGATTTGAAAAGTTAAAGCAAGAATGTAAGAATAAAAAAGACTATATAGAAATTATGGTAATCGTACAATGACTTATAAATGAGAAATTTTTAATTAAATAAGAACGAAAATAATAACACAGTTATATTTGGAATTAGTGAACTACAGTTTTATGAAGGAGATAGAAATATGAACATATTCGAAGCTTTTTAGTAAAGAAGAATATAAATGAAGATATTTGTTAAACCAGTAAACCAGTAAGTTAACAGTTCAAATCGTTTGAAATATCTAGATTAAAATAGTATCACTAATTAGATTACAATTTTCTTACTTGTAAAAAATATTTGCCGACTATGTAAAATTAGAAAATGATTTAAAAAAAGAAAATGAATTAAACTCTTTTTTAGTTGGTAATTATTTGCAGATTCAAAAAAAAAATGTTCGATTTAGAACAGTAAAGACAAAATAACGAAATTTATCAAGTATTAAAAGAATTAGTCAGATCTAAGAGAAATCTTAGAAATCCAAATAAGGATAAATGAAAGAAGAAAAAAATACTCAAAAAGTAAACTTCTAGATTGCTTGCTTGAAAAGAAGAATTTACTAAATTGATAGTTCTTATTCACAAAATCAATTAGAAAAATTAAATCAAATTTATTATTTACAAATCGAATTAATAAGCGACCGAATTAGAAATAAACAAAGAAACCGATTAATATAATTGAAATGAATTTTAGATTTAATTAGAATAAAGAGCCATAATGATAAGACCCGGTATATATTAATAAAGAGCGATTTATTTCCACTTTGAATTCTAGACGAATTTCATCATAAAAGGAATAATAATTTATCTACATAGAGTTAAAAAACAGACAAATTGCTTCTCATTGTTTGTTCATCATAAGACACATATATGGACCAATCATAATTCACTATTTAAATCACATGATACAAATTTTTTAATTCAGCCATCTTTCCGTTTTTATAAATATCCCATTGCCATTGTAATTACGGTAGTGGAACGGCATTCATGTAGATTGACCATGTGTATTTTTTTGCCATCTCTAAGAATACATCTCTGTAAATTTAATTCGTGGTGGTATATGCTTTTTTTCAGTAACCGCTAAAAAATTGTTATACGAAATTATTATTATTTAAATTATGAATTTTTAATGACTTGTTACCAAGTTAGTATAACATTTCTAATCACGTCACGTCTCTTGATCATTTTCCACTGCGTCGAGGCAATTTTTAAGCAAATTAGTTGGAGTATAAAGAAATCTGTGCATAATATACTATTTTTGATCAAGACTTTTGAATAAACGGTCGACCGATCGATGATTATTTTTTTTTCGGTCCGAACATTTAACAATGGTAAAAAAATGTATAAAAATGTGATTTATAATCGGCCAAGAATTTAAAATGCTCGGCACAAAAGATAAAAAGGGTAGATCAGGCGATTTATCATTCACGGCAATTGGTCTTTTTCGATTTAAATGGTTAAAATGTCTTTCTATTTTCACGTGTTCAATTTACATCGGCCAAGGTATAATAAAGCAAACGGTCTTTACAGTTTACAGAATTACAGTAGCACAATATAGTTAGTTTCACAACCACAAATTCAAAATTTGAACACGTTATTTAAGTGATCCAATTTTTGAATAAAGCACCCGATTTTGGAGTATTAATATTGAGAAAGCTTTTTTTTTTTTAAAAAAAAAAAAAATCGTTAAGAAATCGTGTTAGAAGTATACTGATAAAAAAAAATGGTTATTCAGGATCACGGAAATCTTTGTAACTATGTATTAATGAAAGGAGAAAGTAAAGGTATTATTGAAGTAAGAGAATTTGAATCTAAATCTCAAGGGAAGGGAGAAGTTATTTATACGAAAACCAGGCACAAAGTAAGTTTTGTACCATTAACTTGAAAGAAGGAACTTAAATATAGACTATTATTGAAATAAATTTTTTATTTCACTTAAAAAAAACAATAAATGATAGGTTCACGGAGGGGCTTATGTAGCTAAGTTACTTGATCCAATAACTCAAGCTGTATTAGCTGAAGTACAAGGAAAAAAATCAAGCGCAAAATTAAAGCAATTATTATTATACCAAGTAAGAATTTATTTCAAAATTTTTATAATATTTTATTTATTTATCATTAAATAAACTGTTATCTCTTATAGCCAGATGAATGTATAGAATTAAAAGATAATGGTATATTATCATTCGATTATAGATTTCTATGGGAGGAGGAAAAGTATGTATGGAAAAAGAGAAATATTCTAGTTGGTAGAGAATTAGAATGTAAAATGGTGCATGGAGACGATCCGGGTATAGGAGTCTGTATGTATAAACAAGAAAGTAAAACATTGGGTTGCATAACAGTAATGTATTATAATATGGAAAGAATACCCGTAAAGGATAAAAGGGGTTTGGAATATTTATTGATTATTTCATTATTATCTATTTTGGATAAATGGGATGATGAAAATATTACTAAATCAAAGAATGAATACATTCTCGACGATGAATCAAACATTGACATTCTAAAAGAAAAAAAAGAAAATGTAAAATTAATTGAATTGAAAGAGAAAGAGAAAAAGAAAAGTCGTAATAAAAAAGAAGACAAGTTAATAATAAAATTAGCCGAAGAAGAAGCTATTTTGCAAGAAAAACTTCGTCAATTAAAAGCTCAAGAGAAAGACGATGAAGAATACGCCAGACAATTACAATTAAAACTTTCTGATCCTAATTATAATGAGGAAGAAGAAACGTCTAATCAAGGCAAATCGACGTCTAATAATTCTAGAGAAGATTCGACAAGACCTACTTCAACCTATTCCCCAGACAATTCAACAGAATATAAAACAATACTATCTACTAATAATGATAAGAAACTTCGACCACCTACACCACCTTCATCCTCTTCATCTTCAAAATACGCTCACAATTATTCATCCACAACCACAACAACATTATCATCAAATAATTCTTTGGAACAAGAAGAATATTATAGAAAACGACCTCCTCCAACTCCACCTTCTCCTGCCGTCTCTTATCCCGCTGTCTCTTCTCCCGCTGTCTCTTCTCCCTCACCTCCTCCTAATTTATATCCCGCTCCTTGGTCTTACCCTTATAACAATACCAACACTAATTCAAATAATGGTCAAACTTATACAAGTATGCCAATGCCTTCAATACCTTCGATTCCTGGTTATCCGCCTAATAATTATAATAATGGCACGGCGACTAGTGTTAGTGGATATTATGGTACAACTGGTACAACTGATTCTCAATTTAATAATTTTATGAACCAACCTGCATCTAATACTAGTTATAATTACCCTCCTTATCAAGAAAGTACTAATAATAATGGGTATGGCGAGTATAATTATGGATATAACAATGGTGGGTACAATAACGGGTATAATAATGGATACAATGGGTACAATGGGTACAATGGTGGCAATGGTGGCAATGGTGGCAATGGTGGTGGATATAACTATTAATATTGTATACATATTTAAGGAGGACATATCATAATATTTATATAATGCATCGCAATTATTTTACTCTGTATAAATAAACAATTACTTTAAATAATTTTTAAAATTTGGAAAATATATAAGAAATAAGTTTATTATTTTCTTCGATTTCTAAACTGCGCAATTGCCCAAAAGTTGGTGATAGTATTAAGTGCTTTTGTTTTAAATAAATATATAATATATATACTTTATTCTAGCAATTTATAATTACCATAACAATTTCGACCTTTTTGTAATCTAACTTCCAAAAAAAAAACAAAATATAAAAAAAAACAAAAATAATAACCGACTTTTAATATATAAATCAATATTTTTTCATTAATATATAACGAATAAAAACGATCTACATAGAACGTAATTACAATAAAGTTGACAAAATTTACAAAATTTTCAAGATGTAAATAAAAAAAATTTTGCCGTATTGTTTATAAAAAAGGAATTTTAAAAGGCATAAATTGTTCAATCGTTCTTCTTTTACCTCCAAAAATTTTAATACAAATTTTTGGGTAATCGTATAAATCGCATACATCATTTACATATATACGCACATGTAATTAAATAATTTAATAGTAAACGGTCGCTATTTATCTTGAATTAATATAAGGGCACTATATTATCCAAAGTGAAATTGGTGTGTTCCATGACCACCATGGCTATGGCTATGAAAACTAGATCTTTGTCTCGGAAAACCTTGCGAAGAAAATGATCCAAACGGAAATCCGTGACCCCCCCTCGATCCTCCCATGTTAGGCATTTCAGCACCCATAAACATTTGGAAAAATAGATTTGGATCTACATCGAAGTTTGTTTGTCCATTTATTCCGTCAAGATCTACTCCACTATCATATCTTTGTTTTTTGGCAGGGTCTCCAAGAATTGCATAAGCTTCACCAATTTCTTTAAACTTTATTTCTGCATCAGAATCTCCGCAATTTTTGTCAGGATGATGTTGAAGTGCTAATTTACGATATGCTTTTTTAATTTCACTCTCAGATGCATCTTTACTAACTCCAAGAATCTTATAATAATCCTTTCGATGTGATTTTTTTAACTCTCTTTCAGCGTTCCTTAATTCTTTACGAATTTCAGAATTGCTTCCTTCCAAATCCACCGCAGCTTTCAAATCTTGCACAGCTTCTTCATATCTTTCTAATTTGAGAAACGTGTCCGCTCTTCTTCTCAATACTTTAACAAAATTAGGATCCAGATCTAATGCTTTGTCCATGTCCTTCAATGACTCGGTATATTTTCCAAGTTTAATTAGAACTGCTGATCTATTTGAATAAAGTTTAGACATCATGCTCGAATTTGAAGGATCGATTTTGAGGGCTGCACTATAAATATCGTATGCTTCTTTATAATCTTTTCGCTGAAAAGCTTCATTACCAGCAGTCTTTTGGCTTTCAAGTGCTTTCGATTTCTTCAAAAAATTTTATTGAAAAAAAAAAAAAAAAATTATTAAAATAATATATAAAATTGTACTCGTTAATAAAGTTAATTACCTTTAGTAACACACGTGCTTTTGAGTTATCTGGGTCACAACGTAATGCTTCCTGGCAATGACAAGCAGCTTTATTATTATCTCCCTCAAGATACAATATTTGCGCTCTCAACACATGAGCATCAGAATTTTGTGCATCTGAACGTAAAATATCACTAAAAGAAAGTAAAATATCTTCTATAAGAAATTCCAAGTTTTATAAAATAAAACTTTCATGAATACTTACATCGCTATTTGGCTAGCACTTCCATAGTCTTTTTGTTCTAATAGCGCTTCACCCTTCATTAGTTTCCACTTGGTCGGAATTTCTTCCAAAAAGGTCGTTGCTCTATCAATTACGTTTAAAGTCAAAGGGAATTGCCCATTTTTTAAATATATTTCAGCTTGTTGAATATAATCTTTTACTTGGTTTAACTGTAAATATTCTGTCTTTGCTTGTGAACTCGTAGGATCCATGTTTAATACTTGAGTATACACTCGTTCAGCTTCTGATAAATTACCGAGCAAAAAATTACATTTCGCACAGCGAAGAAAAGCCTTAATTGATGTGGGGTCCAAAGAAATCGCACGTTTACAATCATTAAGGGCATCTTTTGTTTTTTTCAACATCATCAAAGCGGCAGCGCGGTTGTTATAATATGTTGGAGAATCCGGGTTAAGTTCTGTGATATTAACGAGCGCAAAGTTATTCAACATTTGTAACTATGAGTGATAAGAAAATGTCATGTATAATCACACGAGCAGATATGGTTGATCACAATACTCTTGGATAACAGTATCTCTTACCTATGGCTCTGGTATATAACGCAACAGCTTGATCATAGTCTCCACTTTTATAAAGATTATTGGCTTCACTTTTTATATCTTCTGCCTCAACTTGACTAAATGAATTTAAACAAAAAGAAACTTAATTAGAAATTTCTTCCCTAAGAACAATAGAAAATTTGATACCGACAAGGATCAACAGCTTATATTATTGAATATTCAGTTTTTAAAATTGGTCTCTTTTACCAGTGCAAAAATCTGAATATTCGTTTCAGGAAAAAAAGTGAAAAATCATAGAATACAGTTCGGGACTAATAACTTGTCGTTTCAAATAAATGAAACCCATTTTCTTTTTTATTTAGATAATAATTTCTTTAGACCTATTTGCATCTTCCCAAATATTACTTTATAAATTCGTAATAAAGAACCTTTATGAGGCTTAAAACAAACTTACAAAATTCCTAACTTACTCAGTTAAGAGCACTTTTTTCGTATTCTTTATATGACGATCACAATTTTTCACATTAGAAATGCTGAAAAGTACTTACACATTATACTCTGGAATGTCGGTTTCCATATCCATGTTCGTATTTATCAAAAAGTATATAGACAAATTTAAGGAGTTACGAACTTGTAAAAAAGAAGAGGTTTAAAGGAAGTATCTCGCAGGCTTATTCCAAAGAGTTAATATATAAGTCCGAATTGTACTGTATATGGACGAATTTATTTTTTTTAAAAAAAAAAATACTAAAATTGCTCAATTTTTTGATTAAGCATTGAACCCCTCTTTTTAGGGTTAGTACAAACGTTCGCGTCATACAGAAATGGATCAAAAGTTTGAGGTACACGCCAGATGGAAACGCGTAGAAGGTCAAGGAAAATTCAAACAATTTTACTTTCCAAGTCAATTGACAGGCTTGGTTACACAAACAGATTGCTGCGGAAGAAATGACCGATTAGATTTAGGAGATTAAGATAAATGTGATCGACCCCGTTGTTTCAGTCAACCAAATCAAAACTGTAATTGTTCAGTCGATTAGGAATATGCGGAACTTTACAATGACCGATATTTTTGGATGGGGGATATCGGTCTTCGATCGATGTCTCTATTCTCCTATTTATTATCGGTTTTTTATTATCGGTTTTTTTTTTTTTTTACATGATGAAAATGTCAACATAATATTTTATTGAAAGATCCGAAAAAAATATGAAATTCTTAAAGTGGAATTCTCTTCGTTGCATTCTTATCTCTTTTTAATCCATCTAAATAATTTTCTGATGTTCTTATATTTCTCAAAAAGTATTTTTATTAATTGGAACCGGCGTTTATATGATATAATACAGTATATCCATTTTTGTTAACTATTTTGTATCTTTAGAAATAAATTATATGAAACCTTACAAAGTTGCGGAGCTATTTGTTACATTTAATATAAAATACCTGCCATTTGAGAGGAATAAATCAAACCTCAGTATATCAGAGATTTTAAATCTAAAATATTAAAAATTTAATGGTTAATGTAAAATTGTAAATAATTGTTTATTGCTTATATAAACTAATTATTTACAAAAGAAGTCGTTCATTTAACTATCTTTATATACGCTTAAGCTAAAAAGTTGAATAACCTGATATAGTTTTGATTTACTTAACTGACCACCCTAGTGTGACATGTAAGTGTTGAAAATTTATATGTTCCTTTTTTGACATATGGGAATTAAACTTAAAATTGTATAAGGAAAATAATATGGGTGGCTTATGGGACAGTTGCCTCTTTGGCCCAGTGGTAAGGCGTCGCTCTCGTAAAGCGAAGATCGGTGGTTCGAATCCGCCAAGGGGCTATTCCCTGTGTAATTTTTCTTTTTTTTTTAATAGTAAATAGTAAATAACTCGCGAACTCCATTGAGATAATCAGGGATAAAGTACAAACCGGTATTTCTCATATAAGTAATTTTTATGAACTATGCTCTTGAATTTTATACTTACGTTTGGCCAATCAGAGATATTTCCAAATATTCGGCAAAATATGCACATTTAGAACCTTTGTCGTGATATTTTTAAAATTGAAGTTTCCAAAAATGTAATATAATTCCTAAGTATAGTATACATACTGAATATTTACTAAATATTTATCTGCTATTTATATGTAATTACCTTATTTTATAATCGTGTTTCATTGAAATAGATTAAACTTCTTAAACTTCTCAATAAGTGATTATAAAATACATTTTCTCCTTTTTTTCTTTTTGATATTTTTGTATTATTTATTATTTTTCAAAAATAAGTCAAGTTAGATCTATCAAAAATTGTATGCTAAAAAGTAATAATTAGAGGTATAATATTAAGAAAGAAGTAAACAAAAATGGTTTCTCCTGACGAAAAAGCTGATGAGAAACCCTTTCTTCCACCTCCAGTAACGTCAGCATCTGCATATGCTCATCACCAAAAGCAGCATTCGCCGACTATTATTTTATTGGTAGTCGCATTTTACTGGGCTGCTTCTTTATCAGTAGTATTTTTAAACAAATATATTCTAAGTGTTTCAGAATATAAATTTCCATTTCCATTATTTGTAACATGGTATCAACTTGTTGTCGCGTTTGTTATTCTGTTAGTATGGGGAACTTTGGGTCAAAGGTATTTATTAAATTGTAAAATTAAAAACTCTATGTGGTATTTTCCTGTTTATAATATATTCAGCGAATAATGTTCGTATAAATTCTACATTTGTTGCGAATAGTGTTAGTTCATTTATCCCACCGTATGAATTCAATTTAAGTATTGCCCGTAAGGTCGCTCCATTAACATTTGTGTATGTTATGATGCTGGCCTTCAACAACTTATGTTTGCAATATGTAGAAGTTACTTTTTATCAGGTTTGTCATATTTTCAAATATACGATCTAAAAAATTAAATTTTATAACTCTAATTTAATTTATTACAGGTTGCCCGCTCACTTTCAATTCTTTTTAATATTTTCTTTACATACACACTTCTTGGAGCCAAAACTTCATTCAATGCATTAGTTTGTTGTAGTATTGTTTTCTTTGGTTTCGTTATTGGTTCCTATGGAGAAATAAATTTCTCATGGGAAGGTATCATTTATGGTGTTGCTTCTAGTGCATTCGTTGCATTGTATGGTATTTATGTTAAAAAAACACTTAGCGTAGTAGATAATAACGAATGGTAATTATATATCCCTTTTTTACACTCGTCTATAATTCTTACATTCAATTAAGACTGTATTAATTTTTTTTTAGGCGGCTTCTTCATTATAATACGACTCTATCAATATTCTTCCTTTTCCCATTAGTAATTTTTTCTGGTGAATTGCATAGAATTGTAACAGTAGATTTCTTATATGAATGGGGATTCTGGACATTAATGACTATCACTGGTATCACCGGATTTGTCATCAACATTGCAATGTTCTTGCAAATCAAATTCACGACGCCTTTAACCAACACAATTTCCGGGACTGCAAAAAGTTGTTTCCAAACCGCTTTGGCGGCTTGGTATTTCCAAAATCCAATTTCACTTTTGGTAAGCTTTAAATTTAACTTGTTAGATCATTTCAATATTGGTGTTATCTAAATAAATTATTTTTTCTATTATATAGAATGGAACTGGTATATTCTTCGCTTTATTCGGTTCGGGTTTATATTCTTGGGTGCGATATAGGGAAATGGTCCGAAAATAAATTTATGTTTCCTAATTAATGTATAAAAAGATTTTAAATATATTTAGAATTTTGGTTCAGTCAGAAAATAATATAACTTTTTTTTAATATCGTTATTTTTGGAGGTAGTTATTATTAATAATAGTTTATTAAATAAAACTAAAAAAGTAATTTATCTCTAGAATTGCATTTAATTAGTATTAGGCAAAGTTAAATTTTTAATTAATTCTTTGAAAAATTTCATCTACTTTAACCATTTCTTCTCAGATGATGTCATATATATTATTGTGTAAATATTACTTTTGAACTTTTGAAGCTGCGGATGATATAAAATTCAAAAACTAACTCGGAATGGACAAATTTGAAATAACAGAAAGATAAATCACATGACTCATTCATTAAAAATTTTTTTTGCCATGGCGTCACTTTTTTGAACATTTACGCATTTATGATTCATTCAATTCTATATCGGAGTTAATTGGGGAGTGGCTTCACGTATATAAAACCTCGAGAAAATTTTCAATATATAAATAAAAAAATCAAAAAAAACTTTAAAGCCTTCTTACTATTACCATTTACTATATTATTACTGTGTTGCCCCAGTAAAAAGATTTGTAAGGGACTGATTGGTTTAAGAGGCTCGGTTTATCTATATGGCTTTGTTATAGGCTTATAAAAAAATAGGAAAAAATTTAAGTGAAAAAGGCTTTGCAGCTGATCGATCGATTTCTTCTTGTATTTTGACAAGTTCATATCGTATTAGATTCTGTCAAAATAACACCCGATTATTTTATTAGAATATTTTAAAAAAAAGGTATTAAGTTGGCGGCTTTGGCTGTTTGTGGCGTGGATTCGTGTAACATTCTTTTATTTTGGGTTTTAGGATCACGGAAATATTTTTACGGGTTTGCTTTCCTGTGAATCCTTTTTTTTATGAACTAAAATATTTTTTTTGTTTCTTGTCTTTTTAACGTGTATAAGAAACTATAAAGTTTTTAAATTATAGTTTCACACATGGAACCAACTGACGATAATTCAGCACAAAATTCGGCACCTAGTGAGTCATTGCAGACAGTACCAATTTATAATTTAGACGCGTCGTCTTCTGATAGTGACTCTGATGACCCGAGACGTAGAGGTGGTCCCCCTGTAGGACCTCCAATAGATATAACGCCTGCAACAAGTGGCTCTCAAGCTACAATAATGTCACAGCGTCAACGAGTACAGGTACCACAACGTTCTTATACAACTCCTCTTCCGAGACAACATGAAAGACAACTTTCGGAGTTATCGGCCGTAGCAGAATCGGTACAAACTAGACCAAGCGTTGACGAAGAGAATTTCTTTGAAGATGATTCATCTAGTGAAGAAGAACCATTTCAACTTCAAGATTCTCGATTATCAGGTCAAACTGAAACACCCATAACGGCTTCTCAAATTGTTGAACATTCCGTTGTTGACGTTTCTCCGAGAACGGATAATCGAGGATTAAGACCTTTAAACTTACTGGATGAAAATGTAGAGAAAGGATCATCATCACTTATGAAAGGTTTGAAATTAATATACCTTTTATTTGAATAATTCGCCAATCAGAATACGATACATGTTAATGAAAGTGCTGTAGAAATAAGAGACTCCAGTCGTCCGATTTGAATTTTTTAAATGAGAGAAAATCGCGACAACTTTTTTAAAAGTAGAATTTCTGGGCATCAATTTAGAGATGTTACATCCTATTCTGATTTGGCGTTGGAAAATTCATTTATAACACGGTTGTAAAGTTAATTATTTTTTTTTTCTATAGAGAAAGTATCATATGATCCTAAATCACGTGGAATACCAATGACGCAGGCAGCAGCAGAACATTCAAGTGATACAGGAGGATATCGTCGTTCAAAAGAAGCAGACCATATGTTTCATCATCGTGAATCTTCAGATCTCTTACCATTAACTCTCGTATCAGGAAGCACATCTAGTGGACTTACATATTCAACTAATTATGCTTATCTTTCTCCACCTTTTGGGCGAGTCATAAACCGATCACAGATAATGGCTAGAGTTGCTTGGTTTTCTCAGTTTGTCATATTCAACATCGTTTATGCAGAGTATAAATTAAATTCAACAACGACGGATGGGAAAACTTCCATGTCTAATCTGATTGGATTAGTTATTATTCCACTTATTTTTTTTGTTGCCTACATTTTACTTATTACAGTATGGACTTATGTAGATCTTAAGAATAAAGGATTTGATTCATCCTTCACAGTATTATATTATTCCCCCCTAATGATTTTTTCAATATTTTTTGAGGAAAAGAAGCGAGTTGATGCATCAAAATTTCATGAAGTAAATTACGGAGCAAAGTGGTGGAGAATTGGTACAACAAAAGTGAGAGAGGGTCTTGTTATGGGTTTTTACTGTTTATTTATTATAGGATTTGTTACATCCGACATATTAGGTAGAGCTTTTAATCAACGTAATGCTGAAGTATCAAAGGTATTTGAAGACGTTGTACCATTTTTATTTATGTTAGTTGTATTTTCATTGGGATTCATAGTTTCGATTTGGGCAGTAGTTGAAGCTATTGTAACAGGAAGTATGCTTGGAAGTGGTGAAGGAAAGAAGAGATTAGTAGGCGTATTACCAAATGCATTTAAAAAAAAAGAGTATTATAAAAGTTAATTAATTTTAATGCATTTTAACAAACAATTAATTTTTATTGGTAATTCTTCTACTTAATAATGGGAATTTGGAAGTTTAGTACAGGAAAAAAATTTCAAAATTCATTATTTTTTTTTTAATTTGTATTGTAATTAGGATACTTAAATTGTATTTTATCTAATTTTGTGATAGCTATTTATTTTGATGTTTATATATGTATGTAATTTATTAGATCCAAATAACTAATTTAAATTCAAAAAAAGTAAGTTATCTATACAGAATAATAAAATTTAATCTGTACATTTTAAGAATTATGAGCCCCGATGTAGAAAATTAATTTTTTACAAATAATAATTAACTAATTAATGCTTTTTTTTACAAAATTTACCAAGTCGGATGAATTTAATAAAAAATAAAGGATTATGTAAGCTCATGTGGAATTTAGTAACTAACAATTTTTCAATTTGTCAAAATCCAAGGTTATGTTGTCATGTGAATCAATTTCCACTACATTCAGTGCCTCAAAAACAGCAGAGTAAGGAGAGGCGATGGCGTATCTGTAATTATCTGTCATCCATGCCGCATGAAGGATACCAAGAGCTTTTCCTTTTTTAACCACAGCAAATTTGCTCCTGAGTCTCCAGGTTCAAAGCCTCCATACTCGAATGCAAATACCAATTGTAGATCAAACCACACAGTAGGATAGCATTGCTGATGCATTTCATTCATTTCTTGGATTAACAGTGTCTTCGAATATTCCTTCACTAACATTGTTACTATAGGGGGGAATCTCTTGTTTGCAAAAATACAAAATGTCGCATCAATGCCAAAATTCTTCTGGTGTGCTTTGGAGTAGAAGTTGCTTCGCATACCACGCTCATAACGAGCCAGAGCTGAGTTCTGCCTGTGTCCATCAATTACATGACACATTTTTTCAGAGATTTCTCTGTATGCTTCATCTTCACTCGCAATTCGACCAAATGACTGTTTCAAATCATCTAGATCTTTATGCGAGAGTTGATAGATAACACACTGTTCCAATACTCGTCTTGCTAAACTTGCATATGTTCACATGAGAGAATACCTATCCATTCCAAGTGTTTATCACTCACGACAGCACTGAGGGTTCCAGCCGTTCCTTGAGATTCAATTATTTCTATACTTGACCCTAACTTAACGTTCTCCTAATAAGCTTGAAAACTACTCATATAGGGAGTTGCGGTACAAACTTTGACAACATCTACTGGGTAACCACGAATCTTATTTGGGAATCTGTCATACCCACGGCGCAAAATACCTTTCTGGTGAACATATAGTATAATGGCAAGGGACTTCGGTAAACTCACCTTGAGTTTGCTTATAACTGGTGCTTATTCCGACCAAATTATAATGTATTTTACGAAAAGATTGCCCCAGTTCGTTGTCTAAGATTTCATCAAAGGCCTTCTGCAATTTTTTTGGGATCTTTTTCATGGTTGGCAGTGGATTTTAGCGTTAGCAAACCCTTCTTCTTTTGCTATAAAATGAATAATTTGATCTTCCTTAACATTTTCTGTCCTTTTGCATAGGTGACAAATATTGCGAGAAATCATGTAGATACACCAAGTTGTATCATCATCTTTGAGACTTCAGCCCCAAAATATGCCACAATGTCTTCCTTCGTGTACAACTGGCGTAAACATTTCTCAAAATCATCACTCCAAAGAATTGATAAATGATCGATAAAAAGATTATCTTCATTTTTATAAGAAATAAATTTATAGATCTTATCGCAAACTTCCCAATAAGTCATACCATTGATTATTAAGCTGTGAAAATCATAAAAGGTAGGTATTTCATTTGGTTTTAATCCTCTTGCTACTCGTATAAATTCTATAAATAAACAATATTTTCCATCTTTGGTACAAAGACAATCTTCACGTAACGTTGCTTTATAAATATAATCTTTGCCTAAATATTCTACATTTCCTTTCTCATTCAAAAATGTCACCTTAACTCCTTAAGTGCAAGCTTAAAACTAAAATGTATCAGCTTAGATGGTTTGACAACGATGTGAATGTGATTGTTGAATGGTTTGTCAGTGAAATAACTACTAATCTTCCTCCTTGCGAGAAGTTGATCGTAGTAAATTTATTTAGCTCAACAATGTCGTGAACTTGAACCTTCTATAACTTAAGCATATTTGCATTGATGAAATTAAACTCAGGCGTTTTTTTCATTTTAATAACTTTCTTGAGTTGACCAACACTTTCATTTCGGTCGATAGTCGATACTTAAGGGAAAAGCTTGAGCAACTGCATTTCCTTGAACAAGACAAAACAGTGTAATGTCATCCATTTTGCTGATATTAATCTTGTGCAACCTAAACAAAAGATGCTTTCTGGAGTTATAAATATAGATCTATCACAAATTTATTTTTTATATAATTTCTGGATGTCCAATACTTTTACTTCGAAAAAATGTATAAAAAAGTAATTTATCAGTAAAAAATTTACGCGAAAAAAAAATGTAATTGACTAAACTTATATCAGTCACTGATCATGATAATCATGATGTATTTATCTTTTCTCTCAAAAATTAAAACTTGCTCATTTTATTGCTTACAGAAATATCATCAAAATGGCTATTTTATTAAACTGTTATTTAGGTGACTCTACTGACAAGATATTCTCAGTTATACTTGAATGACTTCCAGAAATTCAGTGTTTGTTTTTCACTGTGCAGCATGTGTGCGCCACACATGATTAAAATTTTGCGCACACTTTTTTTGGTAAAGATGTGCACTGTGTTGCATAGCATAGAAAATATGTGAGCGCGTGAAAATATTTTTAAACAGATAAATATTTTCATTAGTGTTAGTTCCATATGAATTAAATACTTAGTAATCCAAACTCCTTTGAATGATTCTGAAAAGGTTTCACGAAAAGAAATAACTAATTCTATTATTATTGAAAAAGTGGTTAAACAAGATGAACATAAGTTTCACCTTATGAACCAATTGTATTAACAAAGAACACAAAAGAACAAGAATCTACTGAAAAATTAAATCTTTCTGGATCACTCAAAAAGAAAGGCAGCAGAAAACTGTCAAATAGTTCTATTGCGAAATTAGATTCTTCCACAAAAGTTTTGGCCATCCAGGAGGATATCGTTACTTAAGAAGACCAGAAATAGATCCATATTTGGAAAGTGGCACACGTCAAAATGGACGTGTCGTACTCAAAATCTTGAGCAAGATGAATTTTCTATTTTAACTTCAAAAGCGGATGCTGTTCATTCAAACGAAAGATTCTGGTAAGGACTTACTTTATAAAAAATTGCTCATTTACCTGTGCTAATAAAAGATTTCTTTATAATAGGAGTTACAATTAGAAAATAAAATTTATGGGATATAATTTTGCAAATTATGATAGCTTATGGAAATCAAATATGATATATAAATTTTACATCAAGCATGTATCATTATTATTCAAAAAAGATGCAAAATCTGAAAAATTCATCTTTTATTCTAATATTTTAAAAAGGTAGATGCGCTGTATATGCAAAATTCATGTAATGATATGATAAATTACTGCAGAAATAAATCATTCATGAAAGACCATATCATTCTTATAATTGATTTCATAGTCCTTAAATTCATCTTTTATACCTAAAAAAAATGTGCTTTGATGGCAATAACTTTGATATATTCACCATAAAGATTGATTTTAGAGCCAATAAATTTAATCGCTTTATCAAAAGAACAACAGGCATTTATAGGTGGCTTGCTGTAAATTAAAGAATTAAAGAATTAAACAAAATATTTATATTATTTCATTAAATAAATGCTTTTCTTGAACTCTCTCCAGAATCACTTTATCTATCGTGTTTTTCACCTAAGGCCGGACCAAGCAAAAAGTGTGTTTAACATAACCCCCCTTCCCCTGAGTCGAGCAGTTGTTTTTGAACAACTATAAATATTATCACATGATTCATAAATTAATCATACTGCAAAAGGAAATTTAACGATTTTACATGCAGTAAATATCACATAAAATTTCACATATAAATAGAAAATTTCTTACACCCTTTCGTTACTTAATACTACAAATACAAAAGAAATTGGAAATTTCAGTATGCTACATTTTTTTGTCAGCGTTGACAAAGGTCAAAAAAATATTATTAGTCAAAAAATCGTTAGAATTGACTCAAATACAAATACTTTTAAGGAAATGTATGATGCAATTACAAAAGATTTGTTTTCTACATGAAATGTTCATGTTTATGTGAAAAAATTGATAATAAATGGATTTATGTCGAAGAAAAGTTATATGATGAACTTTCTTTAATGTTAGAGTTAGAATTAAAACATATAAGATTTATTATTCAACCGGAGGAAGATAATGGTGAAAGTAGTTCTAGAAATCAAGTGGTTCAATAGAATAAAATTAATATTTTTGACACCATGATGGAAAGAGTAATGCCTCGACCCGTATCCGGATCAATCCGGATTGATCCGGATTTTTTTTTTTTTTGGATATCCGGATTTTCACAGTTTTCATCCAGATTATAAACCGGATGAAAAATATCCGGTTTGACCCGGAATCCGGATGAAATTTTTATTATTTTTTTTTTATTAATAATAATTTTGCTGATCCATAAAGATCTATATCTAAATGATATTATGGCTAATTATTTTTGCACCTAATACCAATTTTTTTATTAAAATTTATTAAATTTATATTTGTTATTAAACTTTTTAATACAGTAAGTTTAAGAAGATTTTTCAATTATAATTTATTTATTGAAGTTTGTATCAGATTTGTTTATTTAAATTTATACATTAACAAATAACAAATAATTTTAGATTTCACATTCAAACGTTCAAAAGAAAAAAAACTTTATATTATTTTTGTTGCAACAAAATAATAATTATTGTTTTAAAATGAAAAATTGTTCAATATCTGTCTCTTATACACATCTAGATGTGTATAAGAGACAGGTTTAGGTATATACCGAAACTTAGTTTC